TAAAACCTCATCTTGACCTCACTTGACCTCTTCAAAGAAAATGAAAACGTATTGTATATAGACTATGGATCAGCGTTTTGCATCCTCTGGAAAACGCGCTATATAAATATAATTACTTCTTTCACTTTTATTATTATGGAGCATTGTTTTACTTTGTAATAATAATGGTTGATATAGTGGAGCACATACCCTGCGCCTTCCCTAAAAAATGGCGGAAAACAGACGGCTCAAATTTTCACTGACCTGTTCCTCCCATTGTCTGCTTCTATTAAAACCAACTTATTATAAAAGTGGACTTCCCCTTTAAAGTAAAATGGCAGGGCTTTTTCACCACTTTGTTTTTGAATGACTTACTATCAACGGTTACAACACAGCGAGCGGGAAAATAACAAGATCTAGCAAAAATAATGACCAGACTCTCTTCCGGTCCCTCGTTTCCGATAACGGTACTTTATGTATAAATTAAACTTACGATTGAATATTGCCCTTCTATTTCCAATCAAACGTGAAACTTACAGAATAATTTTGAAAGCATTAATTTAATACTTATATTATGCAAAAAAAGTTCATCTAAAAAGATCATCCAAAAAAAAAAAATTCGTTATTTAATGTGTTGAAGAATGAATTATTCCTCCTTTAAATGAGGTTGTTTTTGTGATTTGTTTTCAATTCTCAACATGTATTTTTGAACATTTTATATTAAATAACTTTAACATAAAAAATATAGAAGACGAAAAATTGAATATACTTTATAGACATCCTCGCTGCCCGAATATCATTAAGGATTCGTAATTCGGTAGGAGGGGGATGGGTGGGGTGCAAGGTCAAAGCCCCTTCCTCCGTAATTTTGAGTATCTTTCCCAGTCTCGTAACTCCTGTGTCTCATACGCGTTGGACCCAGGCTAATTGTAGGTGTAGATATTAGCGGATACGTGGGACAGGGGCTTTACGGATTTTAACGAAGGACAGTTGATATGGGGAAAGATCGATAATAAAGCACTTGTTTATCTATGACTGATGTTTTTACTAACCGGGTGCTTTCGACGCAAATTCCTTCGCGAATTGTTGCGCGCCATGGGATGTCGAATCGTAGAGGCCCACCTAAAATCGATTAAAAAAATAAATGTTCATGCGTCAAATATCTCGGTTAGTTGCCTGACGAAAATTGAATTAATATTTTGATTGAGATATGTGGATGTGGGAAAGGAAATGTTTTGCATCCGCTAGAATCTCATTCGTTGATGGTTACAATTACGTTATGTCATATCTAATCGTGGGCGTCGATGGGGGTAGGGGTTTGGCAAGGGATATTACTCAAACCTTGTGTGTATGGGCTCCTAAAGCATGAAAGGAATTATTAACAGACAGTTTATGACATAATCCAGATATTATTAGTAGATAATTCAGGATTTTAAAACCTATCCATAAACAAATTTAATTGAATTCCAAACAAAGGGTAGTCGTCCAACTATCCTAGCATATACCCCACTCCATAAAATAATAATAATTTGGTGTCTGATCTATTTAATGAAAGTATATCCATGCATTAGTATAACGGACTTTAATCTTACCTGGAAGGCATATAATGAGCCATGCTGAAGATTATTGAACACTGCAAACGTGTCGATCTACATTCACAAAAACAAAACAAATCAGATATCTATTCTAGTCACTCTATTTATCAGCTATCTACATTTCTTTTCAGGAAACTATTGATTGTGCAAACCGATTTTCAAGAGCCTTCTGTATAACCTATCACAGGAATCTGCTTTGTTTTGTTTTTATTATGATAATAATAATTTTTATAAAGATAATCTTTCTTATTTCTTTTTCTAAAAATTTTCTTTTTGTTAGACCATCTAACAACTTTAGTTTTTCCATTTCCTTAAAACTCATTTTCCTGGGGTTTTTCAGTCCCTATTTATCTTCCTAAGATAATCTTTTATTGATAGATTTCAATTCGTTGCCTGAAGTTACAGACATGACAAGGAAATGAACATACTTGTATAATTTGTTTAATCTATGCGCCACAATATTATCAAATTAAGTCACTAAAGATAAACTTAAGTTCTGGTAAATTTAGAAAATAAATTCTCACAGAATCCAATGCAACTTTAACACCGAATGTTCAAGATTACAAATAAATGACATGTGCCAAACGATTTTGGTAGAAAATGTATAGCCGATGAGTAATGAGAATAGAAAGATACGGAAATCCGGGTAAGTAGGCCCGATATAATGTGCTTAACAAGGACACTTTGTGCAAATAGAAGTTGTGATTTTTTTTTCTAAGATGTTACCCAGTCAGTTAGTGTGCGTTTTTTTGTATTAATCTACTGCAAGATATTTTTAAAAAATTCTCTCAAAACATCATTCCCGTACCAGAGCTCAAGATTAGCTTTAAGGTTAATATAGGTATAATAAGATGGGTGTTCAATTGATTGATTATAAGCATGAACTTATCGTGTACCCATCTACCGGTAATAATACAAATATCTAGTGGTGATGGTATATTATTGAAATGGGCTGTTTTTTATTTATTTGTTTTCTTTTGGTTTTGTTTTGGGAGTATTTGGGGTGTATGATTTGCATAACAGATTCAGGATTATTTTTCCAAAATATAAGAAAGAAGAAAAAAGTAACATTCTCAAACTTAGCAAAGTTTGTATACACATCCTCATGTAAAAGTAGGCTATAGTATTTCTCTGTTTAATTGGGGTCTAGAAGGGCGGCACATGTGCTACATGTTCCTCCCCCTCCCCCCCCCCCTCGAATCACTACTGAAACTTACCACATATATGTAGGTGTCATCCTCACAATTCAATCTGGAGGAATATAGTTCTCCATCTGCCTTGACACTGCGAACCATAAACTGGTCATATCCTAGTTAGTCATACAGAAGTTAAAACAAAGTTGACAGGCATCTGGAAGGTTGTTACACACGGAACATAAACTGCATCTAATAAAGAAATACTTTGCACTGAAAGGAAAGTATATTCATATTGTCCATCAATGTGGTGTATTTGATGCGTCTATGTAGGGTACATGGGTATATGGGCCAAAACCAGTCGAAATTCAGTTTATTGAAAAATCTCGGAGTTATCTCTCCGACGGAACAAAATGTGTTTTAGGTACAATGTTCCCATTAAAGCAGATATAATTGTGGTTGAAATTATACATCACTACAATGATTGCATCGAACTATTGGTAATACTTGTGAGAAGAATAGTGATAAATCGATTTTAAATTTTATTATCTAATTATATTTGATTTATTCCAATTAAATTGTCAGAGTCGGGTCGTTAGATGCGCAGTAAAATTAATACAATACTGAAATATGCTGGATGAGCTGTAATAAACTAGTCATTCATTTGGACTAAATCATAAATGCAAAATAATGCAATTAATCAAAGTGGCAGTGATCAAAGCCTTACCAGAGAACATCATATTCATTTAAATCTACATCAGCTTCTATCCTTCTCATTTCCAAATACCCGGGTAAAACAAGCTGACTCCAAAATCCTTTTTAGTTGTTAAAACATAAGAGAGGGCTAATTTGAAGATGCTATGACACCCTCCCACCCCTCCCCTAATAAATTCGCATTTCATCCACCGAGTAAGAGCGGTGCCCCCCCCCCTTCCCTTCTGATTATGGAGCACAATCAATGTCTTGACCCTAGATACGCCACTTTTTAAAGTGTTTAGAAGTTAAACATCTAACCTGTTCCTTGCGGATTTTCCCAGCTGAAGTTAGCTCTGAGATCATAGGAGTGATCAATATCATCTACGGGGACGGTCTCAAAGTCCACCTTAAACGAGCTGGTCGACACTTCAGCTGTATAAAAGAGACACAGATTAAACAATCCCTATTTGAACCAGCCTTTATTTCAGAATAATAGAACTAGTTGAAAGGAACGTATTGTCCCTTGCCTGGCATATGGCATGTAATACATTTATGATTCTTACATCAGTATGAAATACTTAAAATAATTCATATTAGTGCAAACTGAAAAAATTGGGAGATTTTTTTAAAGCTATCAAAGCATGTTCACAACATGATATGTATAATTATATTAAAATTGAGTTGATGTTTTAATCATTAAAACACAAGAATAAGGAAGCAAAGAAATAACACATTTTTCAAGTGTAGAGGGTTGCGTTCTTCAGACCCGGTGCATGGACAAGTTGTTATTTCAAACTTGTGAACATATTTACACTACAGAAAGGTTATATTATACACAAAGACATACTGCAGTTTTTGTCTAGGTAAATAGGCGTAGTTTCAACATTAGCTTTTTTTTGTAAGATGATGATATAGATTCTAATTAAATCAAAACTTTCCTTCGAAAGCATATTCTTATTATTCAATTTCATTATCTAAAAAATCAAACTGAAGAAATAAGACTCACCGAATGGGTAGATGGTTTTGCACATCTCACAGTGGATGCTCACAGTACGTATCAAAAGGATTAATAAAGATGGCAATATCAATCTTAAAATCGCCATAGCAGTACACTTTGATCGTTTACACGATTAAGTCACCATTATGGCATATCTTCGTTATGTAGAAGGTTGGCTTGCTAGTGATGAGTTTGAGAATCGCTCTTCGTCGCCGAGCTTGAATCACGACGAGTGCGTATACGCCTCTCAGTTTGGCCTCCATCTCATCTCAGTACCATATACATAATTGCTATTTTTTCGACTGCAGGTCGATTGATGCGCCAACAACCTTTCCCTAAAACTTGATCGATCTGTTGATACCATCTTGAAATTCAAAATTAAATCATATTCTAGGACAAGTATGAATATTTTCGCGTGTTACTTTACTCTATACCTTTTAATGAAATGACTGCTACACGTTCAAACAAAATATCGCAGTCCAATGGCTTGATTTGACCTATGAATAAATCGTGGTAAAAAACAAAATCATGGGTCAGCTTAAGTCATTCTATTTTGCCCGAAATTGTCTTCATTTAATATGTTCCCCTGTTTGCTGTTATCATTTATCTTTCATTTGAATAACCATATACAAATTGACTACCATTCTTCGTTTAACGATATATACATTAAAAATGCTGAGAAATACTTGATTTTGATAATTCCATAATCAAGATTTTTGTATACGTGTTGACTAATACATAAAAAAAGAGGGGAAATAAGGAATAAATGCAACTTATCTACGATTCAAATGAGAATGAACCATCTATTTCCATTCACGCGTTCTTTTTCCAAGTATATTTATCTCCAGTGGCTGAACCGGTTCCTCTTAAGAACATGGTCACCCCTGGTCATACATCCTCCCTATATAAAGGAACCACATTTCCGATGTTTGTTCCTGATGTCAATACCACCTACCACTTATCCTAATGAGAGCGTGGATCAACAATGACTTCATGTTTCCGGAGGAAGTTTTACACCACAGATTAATCGGTTTCTAGATCAGAGGTGAACTACTAATATTGTCATAGCTACTCGTGTTCAATGTGGTATAATGCAGACGAGTTATGTGTGTATTACTAGTAGGTCATTAGTAAATATTTATCCGAGGATCGAAGTAGATGTCTTTTCATCGTAGTTGGAGTAATAAGCAAGATGGGTTCGTTGCAGCAAGTAAGACTTTATCAACTAAGTTTTCTACTCATTGAAATATGGAGGTGCTTCTCTATGCCATCATCTACTATGAGGCCTGCTGGGGGGTTATCTGTTGCTGATTCATGCAGTGGTAATCTGCTACCTGAACCGCCATCCTGCCAAGCTGCCTTCTTGCCAAGCTTCTTGGACGACGATGAGGAGCAAGAGGTTGAACTGACTTGTTCATGGTCACACGAGTATCCAGTCCAGAATATGAAGTTCAAGCACGGTTTCGACAACATCGAACCACAGTTGGAACTTAGCAAAGAAATGATCATCATTACGAGGAAGATCTTTCGAGCTACCGAACGGGATTTGAGCGTGATCGGGTTCTTCTGCGAGTTCTCTTTTTTGCATCCCCTTTGCGGACCGATAGATGAACAGTCGCCATGTTCTATCACAAGGGCCGAGGTTCGCTCAGATCCTTTGATTGAAGAAGTGGAACTTGATGGCTCTGCACAAGTCTCCTGTCACACACGTGATAATAATAATGATGTACAGGAGCAAGCTAATATTACATGGAGAACAAAGATAATCACTAAAAATAAATTTGTCACCTTGACTAACGGTTCAAGACGAAGCGTATCTGAAGATGGAACAATGGCTACGCTGTCAGGTGTGCGGCCTGGTGACAATTTAACACTGGTCAGATGCGATGTCGAAGGTAATGCTACCAATAAAAACTTTGGATTAACTCAGATAAGAGTGGTCGAAGCTACAACACATGTGCCTACTCCTTCCCATCCAACAACAAGTTTACCTATAACCAGTACTACCATCAGTCCATCAACCAGTGTGTTACAAACCAAGACTGACCGAGTGATTATTACTAGCACTCCAAGTTCAGACAAGACAACGTTACTCATAACAAACCCTACGACTAAAATGCTCTTATTTGAGAACATTTATTTCATTATTTCCATCGTCCTGGTGCCTGTTGTCATATTCTTTGGAATCTGCATCATAATCATGATGGTGCGACATCGACGCAAGAAGAAGGTTTCTGCGGATCCGCAGCGTGTCCCTGCCGCGAACCACGAAGTCAATGATAACATGTACGAGTACGTCGATAATGACAATGCACTCGAGCACGAGTATTTCCAGAGTTACCAATGTGCGGCAGATGATACAACAAGCCAGCACAGTGAGTACGTGAACGATAAAATGCTTCATGGTGGAAATTCCGGTCGAACAACGAGGTTACTACGAAGTAGATCAGACAGCCGTCTAGCACAGATGGCGCAGGCTTTTGCCCTCAAGGAGTTACCTAAATCTCAGAGTGCTTGGGCGCTTCCTGGATTATCAACAGAACTATCCGTTCTTGATAGACCAATGCCAGAGTTGCCATTTCGGAAACGAAGTATGACAGCCAATGCTGTCCTGCGACCTCCCCTTCCTCGGGGTGACCCTCCACATCGGTATTCCGAGCCGGGTGAATACGCCATGATTGATGACAGTATGCTGAGTAGAAGCCTGGATATCAGTGGTACTAAACATTACGCCTGCACTCAACTCAATATAAAATCTCAAACAATGGATCCCAAACTTTTCATTCCAAAAAGGAAGCAAAAGAAGTAGGCCTTAATAAATAGCATGCAGCTTTAGCCTTGAAAGGTTGACGAGGCATTTCATGTCTCACCACTACCAAGTATACCCAAGAGTCTAACAAGCCTGTCTAGTCTACACATCTATTGAAAAAATGAAGGAGCAAGTTTCAACTAATGGTTGTAATGAATTGCTATTGTAATTTATAATCACTGGTGTAGTGGTAAGTGTTTTTGTGTGATTGATTTTAGGGCATATTGCATTGAAAAGCTAATAGTTTTATCAATGTAAAGAGCATTGTTGAGACAGTCTGTGTTATAAAAAATTCACATTTATGATCAAAAGAAACCTTTCATATCACGTCGATTAAAGTGTTCTTAATCGCTTTGTTCTAACTTACTAGGACGACGGTTCTACTCCTAATAATCATTAGTCATGAAATGACGCAATAGTTCAAGCCTCTGCCACTTCCGGGAAGTGAACACAGACAACATTTCAGTAATCAGTTTCCTTTAATCAGGTTGTCCTTTCAGAAAGAGTCATGTATAATGGTGTATTTTATCAAACTTAGTTTATTTAGTATCCACATTTCGTTCTTAACAGCGGTTTGTAAAATGACGTAGTATTTCAGTCGGCCTATAAGTTTAATCCTCCAAAACCAGTCTACTGATACTTAAAGGGACTTTATAACATTGTTCATATTAGAGAAATGTTGCTAAGGTAGTGACTTCAATGCTAGATGTACAATTAAAGATAATCTGAAAGTTTGAGTGAGACTGATCTGATCGATTCCTTAATTCTCCCAACTATGTTATTACAATTTAATTACATTTTAGGTGAATGTAAATCGTCATGAAGCAATGAATTGGCTCTATATACCATCCTAGACATTTAAGTGTTCAAAGATTTGTTTAAAGCTTGTTTTATGTCTTAAATTTCATGGACAAACGGTTGGGAAAATTCAAAAATGGTTGGGAGAATCTACTGTTAGAGGGTGACGCACAGTGACGCCTTCAAAGAAAACCATAAATATCTTTGTGGTTCGAGAATTTTTCGGGATTTTTTGCATGTTAGAGGGTTAGTGCAATAGAAGTGATATAATAACTAACATTTCATACAAAAGTTACGCATTTTTTCATCAACCTTCAACAATGTTACCGAGTCATGTTAAGATAGTGCCGGATATGCTCTGACGCTCATCACGACGCTCTAAGCGTCATCACAGGAAAGTGTTGCTTCAATAATTTGTATCAGAGCTCTAAATCCCAAGATTATGACCTTCGATGTTAAAATGATGATTACAAATATCAGTGACTTAGAGATTCATACCCGGATTTTCGTTTATGTTGTGTCAGTTAGTGGCAATTAAGTTCTACCGCTTACATGGCAACACTATGTTACAAATGTATGTTCGTCTTTGCAAAACAAAGTCGAAACACGCACCGTGTCAGGGACTTTCAACCCACATAATTGTTACCATTGTTATTTCTATTGATTTCCGTCAGATTATATAGAACTAATCTCTCCGAAAAACAGGCAAGTACACCACCACAAAAATATCATGGCTCAATCAGTGTTTATTTTATACAAAGTACAGTTCCTCCTTTGAAATAATACCATAATTCTCTTTTTTTTTATACGAATTACTGTTCCTTCTTTGAGATTCAATGTGTGCTAGATGTATAGTTACGTGTATACAACAAACTTGATATTTATTGATATCCCACTTCTTTAATTATTCTATATCACATCTTGAGTTAATGTTCAATGTATTATCTAATATCTATATAGAATCATAGAATTCATCTATTATATGAATGTTACTACTAGCATTTGTTCCAGTTTTGTTATTTCTCACAAATGATTGTTTGCTACGTTTCTTAACTTGTTACAATTCTCATTTTCCAGCCTATCCAAAATTAAGAAAAACAAAAGAAATCACACATTTACAGCATTGGATGTTGAGACGGAAGCAAAGTGCAATTTTATTGGTAAAAATTGATAACTTAAACGGATAGTTGAGTTCTGTTGCAGAGGGCGCTACACGAAATATTTGTTTTGTGAGATAATGAAAAACTGAGTGTCAAATTTGGAAGAACACAATATTTAGATGACAAAATCATATTTGTTTGATCAAAATCGGTTCATAGACGGCTGAAATATAACGATTTCTAATACTTGTGTACCACCACAGATATAAGATATTTTGAAAAAAATTGAAAAAACGTTGAGAAAAAACGAAATAACGCCTTTTACGTCGTATTTCAGCCAATGCCGATGTTGGCTTTTTTGTTGGCATTTTAAATCGCTTAGAGGCAATTTGCAATTTGCGGTATACAAATATCTTAATATTATTATTATTTTCTTATTGCTTATATTACCCACAATTAGCCAGCTCATGTATTGTTATTTTTAATTAAATAATTAATTAACGGTCACTGTGTTTTTTTTTAAAGTGGAGCTGAATTGGTATGATCGTATTGGCTAAATTTCACACATTTTGGGGTCTAAAATTACCTTCATAGCAACTTTAGGTTCTAAAAGGGCACTATAAATGTCATAGATAAGAAGAGCAATAACCATGCACGTTGAAGGCATTTGCGGTCTGAAAACAAAACTCAACTATCCCTTTAAAGGCTTAGTCCACTCCAAAAATAATGTTCTTCAATAGATGGAGAAAAACAAGAGAAACAAAGCAAAACAAATTGAATAAAATCGCATAACTAATAAGGAAGTTAATTTGACAAATTGTTAAAGTATAAAAAAAAATATGGAACTTAGAAAACCATAACAGATTGTGATGTCATTGCCTCACTATTTATCGATTACTTTATGTATTTTTTATCCCATTAATTTCGCTTTTTAACCCCCAAACTTGATTTTTCCCATGCCTTTGCCCAGGTTATATGATTAGTGTCATAGTGCGTGCATGACATTTCACAAAATCTTTCATGAACTTTGAAGGGTTGATACTATTTTTTTGATATTGTATATTCAATCATTGATTTCTTAAATAAATAGTTAATCAAAATTCTTCTTTTTGATGATTTTACTGAAAAGAATCACTATATTTAAGTGCATCCACACAAAAACATATTATTATCAATATAAATTGGATGCTGGTGTAAGGATAAAAGATTTTTAGGGGGAAAAAAGGAAATTTACATTTTCAATATAGAGAAAACAATGAGTAGATAGTGAGGCAATGAAGTCATGATTGAGTTGCCAATATGTCTTGTGATTTGCAAAGTTTTTCGTGTCATTAAAATTCATAACTTTCTTATTAGTTATCCGATTTTACTCAAACTTTTTTTTTATTGGTTCGTCTGATTGTTCTGCTTTTATTGAAAGTAATTTATTTTTGGAGTGGACTTGCCCTTAAATGATTTTTGATTGTAACATATTATAACTTCGTTTGTAAAGATAAATCGAATATCAAAGGCATAGTGGAATTAAAACAATTATTAGAACAATGAAAATGTAAGACAAACTTAGTGCATTAATAAACATTTATATGATTAAAACGACTAACAGTAAATATAATATGGATGGATTGCTCAAAAAGACATTCATCATGATTTAATGTTCACAGTCTCTGTGACCTATATGTATCGTATATTTTACAAGATTTCCTCAAAAGACGACTACCATCCTAATGGTATTGATAATGATAAATCGCATCTACAGATCGATTAAAACATGCTAGATGACTCAAATATTCATATTTTTGTATCTCTTTTTTCATTCCTATAATTGTGTGTATTTTATTCGAATGCCTAATTGCTGGCCGAAAAATCTCAGATTTGTGTTTGTGATCTGAATCGAAATCTTATTTTAAATATCTATATTGTGTGTTCTGTTCATATTTTGTTCTATTTGTTATATTGAAATAACAATCAATTTTGAAGTTGTAAAACAATTCATCAAGAATCAACATGCATTAAGAATAGAATTGTAGCTGAAACGTAATGACTTTAAAGAACGACAAAATGAATCTGTTGTGGAGATATTACCATCGAAGGCTTGACAAAGATGTTCTTTCAGACAGTAATCATGTTGATATCTCAAAGGGAAATAATGGATGAAAGATAAACAGATCATCAATCCATGACGATATATCATTTCAATTGTTATCTTATCGTTAAACTTTTGTTTGCTCTATACAAGAGTGGTGTTAAATGGGGTTGTGGGTTAAAACAAGAATCGGTGGGATATAACACCCCTTCAATTCTTTTAAAGAGTCGTTAGTGCGTTGGTGCTTCCCGGTGCAAGACACCTTCATTCATGTTCCAAAAAAGGTCTAGTGAAGGAATTGATAGTTTACATAATCAGTTATAGTGTAGCAATGTGAAAAACACGAAATTAGTAATAGGTCAACTTATCTATTTGTTTTTTGAAAACGGTATTAGTCAGGTTCTAAAAAATGAACTCCAACATTAACCGATAAGACATTATTCTACATACCATCCATTCAGCTGCCACACTTCTCGCACGTCTTTTTTCACACATAAGGGGCAGTTACACTGTCATCCAAACACGCCAAAAAATGCCAAACCGGAGCCTGGCCGCGATGTTACCAAGGGCAACTACGCTTTACCGGCAGACATGCCAAGCCCCAAACATTCCAAAACGAAGTGTGATCTTTTGGCGTGTTTTGGCGTGTTTTGGCGTGTTTGGCAAGTATAACCGCTCGCAGTTGTAACATCGCGATGTTAGGCACGTGACTTCCGGCACTTCCGGATTGTTACCCGCGCTCTTTTAAACCACGTTCTTCCCGTGTGATATTTATAGCATTTCCATCGTCGCCCGTGTTATCCGTTCATTCAGCTCCGTTTGTTCCAATTCCGTTAACTCATCCTTTATTCAATCTTCGTTATTCCCGTCTGGCCATATCTGTCTAGTAGTAGTATTTGAGTGTTTTGTTAGATTAATTAATATGGAAGTGAACAATTCCCATTGGACTGATGATGAGATGAAGTTCTTGATTTCGATGTGGAGGCAGGGAGATCATGAGCTCTTGCTGTCGCCTCATAAAGTACCTAAAAAAACGAGCACGACGATCACTTTCCCTACGACGTCGGCGAATTCTCATAATTCCAATTAACAACGATGATTTTCTTAACCTTCCCATATCGTTTTTACTACTAGATTTCGATTGAATTTGGGAAAACTGAATCAGCAGCCGTAGTCCGTACTTCGTAACTTATCCACTCTTGCCTCAAATACTACACGCGAGATAAACAAAACATATCGCATGCATGCGCATGGGATGTATCGCTATTTAGATAGCGCTAGCTGGAAATTGCGCGCGCTAAAAATCTTATAGCAGGCCGGGGTCAAAGGTCGGGAAGACTGCACATGCGCATTACCAACCGAAACACGCCAAAACATCGCTGAACAGCTCCGTCGGTGATGTTTCAGCACAAGTGTAACCGGGTGCACGAAACATCGCGACTTTTCAAAATGAGGTATTTGACAGTATAAATGCGCCTAAAAATAGCTAGCAAGCTAAAAATGACCATGAAGTAATTTGTTGCCCACGGGTTCGATAAATAAGTCATTAATTTTTCAAATCGTAATTAAAGAAATAATTCTTATTTCTTACTGTGTAAAATGAGAAAAAAAAATGAAAGGTGAAGGATATTTGTATCATGTTAGTCAGGATCAAATATCCTGGCCCCTAAAATAACTATTAATATGCACACTACACACCTGGGGGTGTTTCACAAAGATCCTAAGTTGAACCTATCTCTAAGTTGGACTTAAATATTTGGAGAGCCATTTGTAGCCTTGAAATAAAATATATTCAAAAGCAAAAAAAAAAGGAATTTAGACTTTTCATAAATTTCACATCAAGAACATGAAATCTCCCATTAGAATAGAAAATATGAATGTTTTGAATCAACATTTTACGCCTTTAAAAATAACTTTTACAAAATATTTTCAAAAATACTAACGGCTTTCCATAATTGTTTAATCCAACTTAGAGATAAGTTCAACTTAGGATCTTTGTGAAACATCCCCCAGGTGAACAATATATTATCAACATACATGTTTAATCATATACTGTAATTGACTGATCTTAATGTCGTCAGTTCATAAAGTCAAGTATTGTTAATAGGCCGATTAGATAGGCCAACACATTTTCTTTTTTCAAAATGACAGAAGTAATTCACACTTTACAAAAATGAAGTAAAATTATTCACATGGTGAAGGATATAGGGATATAAAACAAATATTATACAAATAATACACAGCAGTGAGGGCATTAGTAAGAATTACCTACCCAAGGTACCTTTGGAATAATCCAACACGCCCGAGGCGATAGCCGAGTGTGTTTCGACTGTTTCGAAGTTACTGGGTGTGGGTAATTTTACTAATGCTCAAACAAAATGATGTGTATTATTTTTTTTATAAGATGATGTTTTATAATATTATGTTACCAATGTCCGGTCATATTATTTAGGCCTACTAATGTACTAATACAACTACTAATAACATACGAGCCAGGCAAAATAAATGCCTGGTCACGTGTATGCTCTCAACCAATCAATTGATTAGGATCCACTTCATCATCTTATAAATATATATACATGTATCACCTTTATTCGAGAGGAAATAGTACAATTGCGGTCATCTCGACCCTACAGATATAAACCGAGCTTCTAACGTCTTTATTTATATAAGAGGCTACTACATTTCCATGTCATATACAGAAAAGTTACGTTGTTATCTCAGTACACAGAAAAGGAAAACGGGGTTACTTATATACAAAAAAACGCACTGTTGCGAGTGACTGACTAACCTGAGTGCAATGGAACTGCCCTAACACACGAACAAAATAGTGCATTATTTGTTTTATGAGACGGGTCTGCAATACATTCTTACAATTAAGTCTAGATCTAGAGTAAATATAGATATTAGATCGTTAAAAGACGGGAGTTGCTGCTACCTTGTTTGGCGTTCAACAATAAGGGATAGAGCAACGTCGATCTGGCGCTGCTCAGTGGCTGCCGGGCTCACGATCAATTGGGCAAAAAGAATTTCCATTTTCGGTTTAACTTAATACAATTTGGAGTGGACTTTAAAAGATTATTATTATTATTGTCTAGATCTAAGTTAGATCTAACTAGATCAAGGCCTAGAATATTCTAAAGTTAGATCTAGATACATAAAGGTACTCTACAAGTTACAATAGTAAAATATTGAATTACGCGAAAGCGATATCGATAGGTATCGAGCGTGCGTTATCAATTTTCGATGGGAGATGTTTTTCACGGTGGGACAAAATAATGCATGCCCACGTGATGTCAATTAAAATTAACCGATCGTATTGCTTACATTCTAGAAACCGTCTTATAATATCAGATAAAATCGTATTTTGTTTAATGTATGTACATAGTTAACAGCTACTTTACACTAATAAGGCTCGTTCAGATATGGCGTGGTAAACCACTGTAAAAACGCTGCGTTGGGGGGGGGGGGGGGTCTTCATATAAATGAATGGCAACTATACGCGCATCAAAAAGATAGGGAATGTGAAGAGTGTTACACCTGACGCCATCATGAATAACCACCACAGTTCACCGCTCCGATTCTGTTCAAGGCTTAAATCACACCATTAAATTATTACGAGTTTATAAACCTCCCGGGAATTTCCATGCATGCTGTTATCATTTGGTGCTAAACGAGGTTTCAGGGCTAGAGCAAAGCCCTCAACATGTTATTTAGGATGATAATTATAACGAAGACTATATTTTTTTAAATATACACATAATCATACATCCATATTACATGCTCAAAACGCCCTATAAGGAGTCTTTTCCTATGCCAATTTACTATACCTCGGTTGAGAGTAATAACACCAACATAAATATTGAAAATAATTATAATCATTATAAATATCAGTACTGTTATCCAAATTATTATTTAAATTATTATCATTGTTATTATTATTACTATTATTGTTGCTGATGATGTTGTTATCATTATTATAATCAGAATTATCATCAGTATTCACCTGCGAATCGGAAAGTTCCCAATTAACACGGGGGTGGAGAGTCGTTAATGTGGATTAATGTCTTACCAAAGGACCTTAGTATTGACCTGGGGTTCGAACCCCCAACCCTTGAATTGAGAGTCAAGTGAATGAACCACTCTACCATGACACCTCCACTAGAGCTACATAGATAAGTCTCTTGCCAAGGGACATTAGTTCCGCATGTTGGACTCGAACCACGGACTAATTCATCCACAGTTCGGTGACTTGCCCATGACACTTCATCTTCTGCATAAACGTCATATTTTTCATATTATCTTCATTAGAAGAGGGGAAAAAAATCGATGAGGAATTTAAAACATATGATTGCATCAAATTCACGATTTTGACAAGTAAAGGCTTCGCACATACGCCTATCATTTAGTAACAACTACATGTATAATAACTTATATTTAGTTTATCTTTGTTAAGTTTTATGAATAACTCTTTGACAGGAAAATTGTTTATTAATTGTTTATATTCTTTATCACAGAAAACTCAAGACTAAAAGAAGTCAAGCTTCTATGTCAGCGAAGTACGCTCGACGAGGATTAAATTGACTTATTTCTTGAAATTGAAAGGATGGGTTGGTCTGGTCGTAGTCAGTCATCTTGCCGATACCCCCTGATGAGCCCCCAATTATCCAGTAAATGACACTATTGAAGTAGCAAATATCCCTGATCTTTTCGAGGTTAGGTAATGGTATGTACTCCGTCAATTCCTGGGCACTAGATATATCAAAGCTGTTTAGGTCCTTGAAGAAAGATTTATGCGTACCCAAGTCGAAGAAAAATATGCGACGTACATATCCTGTGAACGAAGAAAGTTTGGTCATTTTCAATATCAAATGGCGAAAGTAAGACGTGTCTGCTTGTGAAACTGACGTTTTCATAGTTGTACTCAAATGTTCCACAGAGGGATATTGTCATCTCAATTATATAAGAATTTAACAATAGTGGTGTTTTTGCTACGTTCAGCGTTTATGGATTAATTTCAAAGCATTATTGAAAGCATGATTCCTTCTATATTTTAGGGGAAATGGGGAATAATTTTGATAACGTTAATAGTTTGTTAAGAACAACCGTTTTTTTTCTTCTTCTGGTTTCCCCTTTGTTCACCTGTACACCACGATTTTGAATTTGTTTATCAGTGAAACACTACAAGTAGGTATCGTTCACTCATCATTTATTTTGGTCTTTGTATTCGATATTATGCACCCAATTATTCAAAATCAGTATAATTCTTCATGATATTGGTGAGTAATGTTGCAAAACCTTCGAACATTCAATAATCATTTGAAATCCAGTGACATGAAAAATAACCATGAACACCAGACACATGGAATACGTACGAGTCAGATCGATGCCCATTCTGTTGATATTCAATGACTTTCCATCCTTAAAGACTACATCTCTATGACCAGATCCAGTGAGATTCGTACGAACTATACTCCATCTTAAGGCGATGTACAGATATCTAAAACATGGAAATTATCAATTCAATTCAGTTAAGGTAAATCCATCAGATGTCTTTATCATTTAAAAAAAAATCATTTTCTTTTAGTCGATGGTTGTCAGTGCATTAATTGTTTAATTAAAGTACATAAATGCATACAAATTGTATTAATTAATATCACTAAGAGTTACGTTGATATTCAAATAGTTCTCCATGATGTATGAAATTTCATTTTAAACCAACGTTCAAGCGATGCTAGCATCGAGGGTATGGGCTGAGTCCATTTCGAGGCTGGGGAAATGTAGACTTTTTTCTCATATTAAGATGAACAACAAAAAAAGTGATACTATTTAAGTACCAGTAAAAAAATAAAAGAGGAAATGCACATAAAATATATAATGGCATCATTTTAAAGGTAAAGACCAGTATTGGAAACGCCCCAATTTCGAAAAATGAAATGGAAGCTCTCATTACCAATCATGTGAAAGAATATGTTTTGACTAATACATGATGATAAAAAATTTGCCGGGAAACCGCCTACTAATTCATATATTTGGTAAATTTGTTTCTCTCATGGACTGTGAGAGATACAGGGTAGTCCCATATACATCTTTTTGTGTATAGTGCTTGTAACTTTACGAAGAATGGGCCACATTTCTTATCATTTTGATGATTCCAGAACCTTGCAGATGCTAGATGCTAGATGATCAACCTTTTCTGATCGATTCCACAACGTTTCTTTCACAACGCAATCTCATGACCATAACTGGTCTTTACCTTTAAGGCATCCATATTCAGACATTTAACAAAAAGAAGACGTTTTTTGATATACTGTAAACGTGATATTTAATGTGTGGGAATCATAGCTGAAACGAGCAATGGCAAGCTAAACATATGAACTTAATTTTAGAGTAATGCAATCAGTGATTACAAAAATCATGCCAAGCTTTGCACTATATAATTGACATTTTGAAGGTGCAGATTTTTTTTAATGGAGGCGTTTCCAAAACTGGTCTTTAGCTTAAAGCAAGTTGTTATACATACCCTTGTTCGTCGTCGACCAAAATGGCGGCTGGAGTATGAATGAGATTGGTTAGGAAATCCACTTCAGTTTTCGGTACAGAACTACCCTCTTCAATTGACACTGATGTTATTTTGTATGCCTGCCCAGAAGACAGGAAGAGTATCCTTGGTGTTTGAGCAACGGCCATATTTGATACCCCTACAATTCGTAAGAAACAATGAGTAAATAGAGTTACATGTAAGATTCCATCGTTACATCTACGTGATCGGATACTTTAAAAATACTATATAAGCGAGTCCAGAGTGAAGATATTTTGGCCAAGTAGAGAGGAAAAGTTAGCCATCCTCGATCGATTGACGCAACACAAATAACGGAACCCCCCTCCCCCTCCCCCAACCTTACGTCAAGGGGAGGTCGAAAATAGCATAGTATAATAGGCAGATGAGAGCTAATGTAAGTTGGTTCCAGTTTACCATGTTGTTCGGTCAGTCTGCGTCAGGCAAAATCTGTTTTTTCATAAATAGTACAGCCATTTGTAAAGGTCATCAAGTATTTTCTCTTTATTCTCTTTGCGGACGATTCTAAAACTTTCTTTTCACACAAAGTTACTGAGTTACTTAAGCTGAGTTACTCACTACAATTAATTTTGAAGATAAATCAGAACTAATAAATCATCACTGAACTTATTAAAAACTAGAAACAGGACTACACACCCTCAAGAAAGATAACCGAGAGTCCTTTTTAGGACCTTTTTTGCACCCGCAAGCCTACTGTATATCTACATCACCATGCAAGCCGATACTTACAAGCAGCATCTAGATATGTGTTGGTTAGTAATATAATAGATAATTTACCCGGAAACATTAATTTTGATAACACTAATATTAAGAGGGTTTCTGCAACAAAAATGATATTGGATGAGAAGTTATCATGGAAACCACATATTGATAAGATGTGTAAAACAATGTCCAGAAATATTCCTATCCTTAACAAAGTTAAGTAATCTTCTCCGACACAATTATTATTGAATTTATAATCCACGTTTGTTCTTTGTGATTCGAATTATACAATTCTGGTCTGGATCAACTGTGAAGGCTCATCACTGGACAGAATCTTACTTCTTCAGAAAACAAATCCATATGTATTTTCATTTATTCAGGCTTACAAGCACATACAGATACATTATACTCGACTAACATTTCTAAGACATTTCAATGTTTTTGCTCAGCAAAAATGAGTCACCCGAATTTCCTTTAATAATGTTGAGGGAAAATACTGAATTACACAGCAACCCTACGGGGTTAAAAGCGAGCTCTAATCAACTTCCAAAAACGAGGACCCTACTTGCTAATAACATTTTTTACTTTTTGAAATCCCTTCCCAGTGATTTTGAAATAGAGACCCACTTGTTATTCTGCTTTAATTTGTATATTGCATTATTATAATAAGCGCTATATAAAAACTGAGTATTATTATTATTATTATTATCAGCATTGCATCTCATTTTGGAGAAAGAGAGACGGTTGTGACTGTTGTGTTGTTTCAGGTTCTTTCAGGAGTAATGTAAGATTGATGAAGAGCGAGTACCTAGCAACAAGTCGTTTCATGATTTTATAGTGGTTTAATAATCATCGTGTGAGATTCACATGAATTTTTAAAGAATTCTGCTGGTGCTTTGTCACGAATATTTTTAGGACAATGTATAATAGAGTGCGTTTAAATTCACTGTTTCTCTCTTCCATTCACTTTTCCACTCCTACAATTTCTTTCTCTCTCGTTCTCTCTCTCTCTCTCTCTTCCTCTTTCGGTATGTGTTAGGCAAGCTTACACCGTAGCACTGGCGTACTGATAAGTGGAGCTTGGGCAAATCAAACGTGGTTTACTCTAATTCGATACTAGTGATTTACAAAAATTTTTGCTGAAATGACATGATTTTCCGGGGCTTTTTTTTTTACCCCCTAAAGAAGTTTATGCTCATTACGCCTTTGCACCTTAAGCAGGGCTACCACTTAGCCGAGTTGGAGCCACGAGTTGTGGCGAGCTGGCGCGATCTTATGGCAAGCAGTTTTATCATTAAACATATTTCTTGATATCATTAAATCGAATTCTTGATATCACGAATTCAATTCTTGATATCAAGAATTTTCAGTGCTTTACAACGTAAAATTATTTCGTGATATCAAAAAATATGTTTTAATGATAAAACGGCTTGCCATAAGATCGAGCCAGCTCGCCACAACTTGAGGCTCCAACTCGGCTAAGTGGGAGCCCTGCTTAAGATTGTGTCCAACTGAAGCCGAGTTGGCCAATCTATGGCTATAACTGGACCTGTTAAAGCATACGGAAAATGGAAGGAAAGCTTTTGTATTTTTCAACCATTTCCACCACTGAAGTGCAGTTTTATAATATTGTAAAAGTTGACAATGTTAATGCTGCAATTAATAAGAGGTTCATGCCTGTTTTATTTCACGACATGGCACTACTAAGATGGTATTTGAATGATCGGATTATTAAATACCTAAGCCTTTTCTTTTCCTTTACTCTGCAGACACTATTTGGAAAGAATACCACTTTGTCACGTATGGTTTTTGTTACCCTCACCCACAAAAGGCTGTCGCTCACTTGAGATTAAAATAATATAACGTTAAATAGCAGTGTGTCTCATTTGATAAACAAACTATAATGTTTACAGAGGTATCAATGTCTGAAAAAAAATTAATACTTTATTTGTTTAACCAGAACTCACCTTTACCTTTAAGCATGTTCAGGACACTTCCGAGATTTAAATATACAAGCTTCATATTAAATACCATCTCAATCAAAATCAGATATGTATGACGTCATTCACTCATTGAAAAAATTTTGTTTTTAAATCTGTTCTTACCTTTTTTATAGTTATATAGAACGACATCTTCCCTGTTCGTCCCATCTACATTAGCTCGATAAATCATTTTGTCGGATAAATCACTCCAGTATATCTTGTGAGAAACAGTGTCGTATGTTATACCCCTTGGTTCAGGTGAAGCGGGGATGGCAGTAAATACTAATTCATCCTGTAGGTTAGCAGTAAAGATAGTCCCCGGGGATATTTCATTGATTGACACCAAGATCTTGACGGATGGTTCTGAAAATACGGATTCAATCGCTTTAGCATGTCTGTAAACTGTAACGAAAGTTGGGCAGATGTTACTGGGTAAATCGAATTTGGGCAAATTCTGCCCGATAATTGGGTTATTTTCTCCCAACCATTTACTATATGAAATTACCTAATGGAAGGTAAAACATAGGTTGGGTAATGTAATTGGGTAAATTAAAGTCGGGCCATTCTTGTCCAACAATTGGGTTATTTTCTACCAACCATGTAGTTACCGATGAAATGATTGTGTAATGTTATTGGGCAAATTAAAGTTGGGCCATCTTTGTTCAACATTTGGGTTATTTTCTCCCAACCGTTTACTACATGTATAGTTACCCAATTAAATGTTCGAAATTTGATGGGCAGATGTTACTGGGCAAACGTAAGAAGGGCAACAAAAATGCAACAATAGTGGTACCTTTTATATTAAAGGTGTCGTGGTCGAGTGGATATGTCACAGGACTGTGGATCACAAGTTTTGCGGTTTGAGTCCCGAAGCGGCACTAATGTCCCTTTATATATAATTTAATAATATTTTATCCAACCTATTTGCGCAACTAGTGTATAAAAAGCTACACATTATAGTGAGAATTGGGTGAATTTCTGATTGGGTAAAGCTTTGTTGGTTAAAAGTTGGGTATTTTCTTTTTATCCAACGCTGGGTAAATCATGTATATTCTTTAATTTAGCCAACAGTTGGTTGGACACATAATCGCCCTCATGTTGAGTAAAAATTGAGCAATTTTTTGCCCAATATTTTTTTAGAGTGTAGCAACTGCTATTCTTCCGGGTTGTAGTACCAAATATCACTTAAAATTTAGATTATTTTAGCATTAGTTGTTCTTCTTTGTCTCATAGGTAGAAAAAACAAACATTATCCATCCATTTGGAATGACAGATTTGTAATTTGCAAGTAATTATACCTTTACATTCACTACAACATCGTGATAATTTTCGTAAGACACATTTTTGCAGACAACAAAATATTTAACATCATTTTATTTAGTTTTAAATAAATTAAAGAATACTCTTTGTGCATGAATCTAAAAGAAATGCTACTGCTTCATGCTTTCAATCTTAACTTAAGAAAGAAAAAGATTGAAAAATAATACATATTTGTTGGTAACGAAGAATTCCGGGAAAATGAGACTTTTGTCAAAGTCGTTAAGGCTTGTAATAAGTAAATTTGTAAGAAAATTGTATAAACAGAATGGTGAAAGTTTGAAGTAAATCAAACCAATAACATGAGATTGATAAATTGTTTAAACATGAGATCACTAAATAAGTGCGGATCTAAAAATGACAATTTCGTTCCTGTATTGTGACATAATACACACTGACAACTTTCTTGTTTGTCGCGTACATATATTGTCAAAATATCATTCATTTATGTTTTTCTCCTAATTCTCCCTTGGCACTACTGAAAATTTCTTATGGAAAGCATATTAGGTCCTCGAAAGAAAAAATGAAATATAAGTTATTTTGTGTGTTGGAACAAATAGTTGCCCGCCTAGACAAATAACAGATTTGAAGAGCCTATAACACCAAACAATCATAACTTTCTTATTTTTGGTCTGACTCCATTCTTCACACTTTCTGCTTTCATTTTATCAAGGGTGGATTTCCCTTTCATTAATCAGAATCACGACAGAAAATCTAAACGGGAATACTTATAATAATTATAATAATAATATCAATAATAATTATTATAAAAGTAATCGTAGTGATAACAATAATACTAAAACTACTACTAATAATAACGGTACGACAATATTTTATCTTAAAAATTGTTTCTGGGTGACCTTCAGCAACCAGTTGGCAATTGGATTACATCCGGTTGGCGACATAAACACCATCGATTAACATCTAAATGACATCTCCAACCATCGCCATTTTTGTTGTTGTTGTTGTTGTTTAGTTTAGTTTTTATTTACCGCAACCCGGTGATCATGGTAATGAGTCGGCGACCAGTCGGCGACTACTTCCCAATCTTCCAACGAGCGGTTGGCGAGGAAGAAATATCCACTTTCTTATGATGGCCGATCAGTCAGCAACCCCATCGTGCAACTCATCGACGTCCTTTCCGCAACCGATTGGCGCTCGGTCACCAAGTGTTTCTTTCAAACTTCGGGACTTTTCGAAGGTAGCGGTTGTCGATGGTTGCGTTTTTTCTCTTCAGTTTTCGCTGGTCTGCCACTTTAATATAATATGAGCAAATGTTCCTGACTATACTGGTGTCATGGTGGACGTGTTCATTAAATCAGTTGGCCAAGTAAATTATGATGAGAGTGAAAAGGCAAGAAACCCATTTCCTTTTTTTACACAGTGATGGAAGATTTGTCATTGTGAAGATCAACAACGAGAGACATTGGGCCTAAGTATGAAATATAGAAAAGGAATTCGACAGAGGCAAGAAAAGGGAACGGGAAAGGGTTGCGAGAGAGAAAGGAGAGATAAATATGGGCAGACAGACAGGCAGATTTGTTCTGGAAGACCTGGTATTTATCATCACTCACCAGTCCTAGGGGTGGTTTTGGTGGCTATTGGAGTGGTGGTGGTGGTGGTGGTGGTGGTAGCCCTTGTCATGGACGTGGTAGCTGTGTCTTGAGATGAAGATGATTCTGTAGAGAAGCATTCGAACAAGTAGATGTGGTTTATTAATATCAAAGGTAAAAATATCGGAGGTAAATACCAGAAAGGAAAACAGAGGTCAAAATATGACCCCAAAAAGTCTAAAATACCAGGGGTAAAAACATCAGTGAACCATGAAACGAAGAGGACCATATTTCCTTCGCTTTGCAATAAAGCCAGTCATTTGAATTACGTTTTAAAGAAAGAAGCAGCCAAGTATAGCAAGATGAACGAAAAAACGTAGGTTTTATGAACATTTGATTTGCAGATATTGTGCTTTGACACTGAAAATTGAAACATATTGAAATCATGAAAATGTCTGAATCTCGGTTAAATGCCTTCAGTTTTTTCGCATTTGATTACATAATAGAATATTGCGACATTTCACACCACCCAATTGAAAAAGTTCTTGATTTGGGTCCTATGCATTTTACAATGTACACTACAATCATTTTAAATCCAATCCGACTAATTCATTTCTCTGTGAATGTAACAGCTAACAAATCTAAATTTTAATGATTGTTCTCACCGTGATCACAATGTATTCCTTTAAATCCAGACGAGCAGTGACACAGGTAACTTGTCATAGTCTCCTCACACCATCCGTTTCCACAAATTTGTTGGTCACAATCTGGTTAAAGATATGAACCACCGCAAAACAAAACGCAGATTTATGTATAAAATGGATGGCTACTGCAGACAAAATAGGACTCATTGAGCTCTGAGTTATAAAAAAAAAAGAAATGTGAAGTGTGTTACTCTTTATGTCATCTTGAGGAAAATGTCGAGAGGGTTGAAATAAGACGAACAACCAGTTATAGCAATATGTATAAGGGGGCCATGGGATAATTATGTAATTGTTTAAGAGAAACAATAATGGTTCGGTGACTATTATAGTATTGTGAGCGAAAGCTGTTCGAGTGATACCTCGGTCACACCGCCAAACTGACTTCAGACCGACTTCAAACCGACCAATTCTTGGTCATAGACGTAATGTAATACTTAAGTTTGGTATGCTGCCGGTCTGGTGTCGGATTTGTCAATGTGATTAAATTTATAACAGGAAGGTGATAGGAATTGCGTTGTCGTGTTGGATAGGAGTCAAGGAATGAATTGAATATTTGACAACAAAACATATGCATGGAAGATACGGAAATGGGTAAGTTTGCGTGTTCTGAGATGAAATATAAATTTTCCCACGTTGTGTGAGTAGAGGTCATGTATCTTATAAGTAGCTTATATGAGTAGAAGGGTGGGGCTGTATGGGTTCGATAGCTAGTATTGTTAATTATTCTAATAGCCCTTTTTTGGTAAGAAGATGTTGAATGCTCAGGAATTAAGAACTGTTCCCCTACGCAAGGATTCCGTAGTTCAAATAACAAAGACATTATGTGGTGCACAAAGTAAGCAGGACATTTTTTATTTAATATTTTATATTCATGATCATTGATATAAACATATTGTTGACAGTCAGTCAAATGTAAAGGTAGTTCGATTCCGAAGCCTTGCCACGAATTTCGTAATGAGATCATTTGGGGAGGAAAATCGTGATCAAAATTCCAAAGGACTTGGAGAAGTCCAGGAATAAACCGATTGTGTAGGGAAAACGGTCCAAGTCTTTAGCTACTTTGTTGATGAACATCAGTAATGCATGAGTAGTTGAATAGTGTTTTTTCCGGAAACCAAATTTGGACCTAGCCAAAATATTGTATTTATTTAACAATAGAACAGACTATTTTTTTTCTTTTTTTGTTTTAATCAAGAGCGAGATGGGACGATAATTATCAATATCATGCTTGATACCTTACTTAAAATTTTGGATTGCCTTAGCTATTGACAATTGTTTTGATACTGTTTCGTCGAATAACAATATTGTTGGAATAAGGTAAGAATTAGATTCCCTCGAATTTGAATGAAGCGTTTAGTATGTATTTCAATTATCGGATTATTTCAGCCAGATACAGTTGGCAAGTAAACCAAAACAAGTTTGAAAGAATTAGCATATTTTTCGCCAATTGTGCCGGGACATTTCAAATGATACATAGTCGTAAAGAGTTGATTGAAAAAGAAAAAAGAAACTATCCACTTTTAGAGACGAACAACTTTTGGACACTGCATTTAGTTTGACAATTAAGGCTATGAAAAGAAATCTCTCTCTCTCTCTCTCCTCTTTCTGTCTCAAACACACATACAATCACACACACACATACACACACGCACACACGCACGCACATACACACATAAAGACAAACAAACATTTCGTCATAATTTTAATATGTCAACATGATCAAATATACAGTTAAAAACTTAATTATGCATACCCAAGTTTTGTAGTTTGTTTAAGGATGTTAACAAATTAGGTGTTCCGATTATGTTTCTTGAGAATGCGACATATAAAAGCTATATTAAAACATATTTAACAAAGGCCCTAATTCAACCAGTCCATCTTTCATTCATGAGTTATGAACACAAAAAACATGAAATTTACTAGGGTTATGCATAATTAAGTTGTTTACTGTAAATACTTGTTTATATCCTCCAACAACCCCCCCCCCCCTCTTTCTCTCTCTCTCTCTCTCTCTATCTCTCTCTCTATCTCTCCCTTTCTCCCTCTCTCGTTTTGTCTCCCTCCCCTACCCAAATGAATAAAATCATATAAATACCTGGAAATCTGCACACTCTGTGTCCAGGAGGTATATTTAGTGTTTTCCTCCTGGTAGGACATCCACCAGTTTCAGATGAAGCAGGGATGATCTTGGGGATGGTTTGTACCGTCCTGCCGTCGGGATGTTCTTTCTTCTTACACTCCATGAGCATTGGCAGGGTATAATTCAGGCCTAACCCGTCAGAACAACATGCCTTGCTTGCATCGCATGACACAAGTTGGGCTGAGAGCAAACGCACAGAAGCTTTTCTAAGTACTAGTGAAGGGGTAGATGCAGCCCCCCCCCCTCCCCCAGCATCCATCTGAAAGAATACTTTTATTGAATATACTGGGTGAAAAACAAAAGTCCAGACAAATGGGAAATAGAGACAATTGAGGACACGCTCATGAATAAACATAAATATTAATAATCATGAACACATATGGAAACCGATCCTTCATGGCATCAACTTCTGTTTCTTGGAATTGTCTACCTCGCAATACTTTTAAGAAAGCCCTTACGGTAGTTTTAATATTGTTCTGCATTATTTCTATGTTCTCCAAGTTGTAATGTACATCACATATCATTATGCGCTATACAACGTGTCCGATCAGCTTTCGGCAAGTTCACGAAAAATTCGAGTAATGTTCGCCCAATCACGATCCCCTTTAATATACAGCAAATGGAGGTACATTTACACGAGTTAGGACATGAATGCCTGAACCTCTGGCAGCAGATCCATACACCTAGGTTAAGACACACAATAATAATACCATTCGTCTAAGGACGTTGGCACGAACTTTCAAAATATTATTCACACTATTACCATTTTGACTTAGCCGTGATAATGAACGACCGAACTATTACAAGTAACATCATATGCAAAGACTCTAATCATTTTACTGGGGCAGGTGTAGTAAATGAAATATTGGGGAACAAATTAGAACTTAAATTTAACTTAAAGCCTTGTTGTCTTCTACACTTTAGGAGACTCTCGTTTTTTCCGAAGTTTCATTGTTCAGGAGGTTCATAGTTCCAAAGCTTTCGTAAGTCCGATACACACAAAACTTCGGAACGGAATACTATTCATAATTCTGGAAAATTCTTTCGTTATTCCGAAGGCTCTTTATGTTTTTTACCCGATGGTTAATGATTATGCATGATATGAAATAGGATTTGTTATTTCGATGGTTCGTTGTTCCGAAAATCTATAGTTATGTTCGGAATTATGAACCCTTTATCATTTTACAAATTACGAAGCTGGTTCCATTTTCGGAATTTTTAATCCTATGTTATTTTTGGAAATACAAACTTCTAAATATTATGAACGTTCGGATTAGAAAACTTTCGGAATTACGAACCTTCGGAAAATCGAAATGTCACCATAATTTCATGGTGAAAACAAGATTTTGAATTTTCATCTGATGAAGCAACAAGTAGGTACATACCAAAGAATACGCATGATAGGACAGCTAAAGTGGCCTTCCAAAAATGTCCACGTTTCTCACCCTGGGGTAGAAAAAAGATTTCGTGATTAAAAGTCAATGCACTTTGGAATTACAATTTCTATGATTAAAGAGAAGGTTCATTGAAATTTTGAAAATAGGTAAATTATACCTCTACAGATTGCTGGGAGCAATCAAAAAACGAGGAAAATACTTGTTGAGCCCTCACTAGTGTGAGGAATGAAGTAAATGCAATTTTGAATGCTAAAAATGTGAATATGCTTATATTATTATGAAGAAAAGAATAAAGAAGACCTGAAATGGTTATTTTACAAAAAAAAAAAAAAAATGCAATTTTGATACCCTTCCCAGAACCCACTCAATAATTGAAATGACGGCGATAGAACACATGAGATATGTGTGACGTCACCGAATGAACTACCCTGCATCACACATTCGGGACAATGTTGGATGCCCATTGCAATTTTTAGATATGGGCTTAACGTTGTTTGTATGACTACCGCCAGTGGCGATATTTCCTTTATTTTGGCACTTCAAATGAGATACACCAAATAATAGTACTTTCTAAAAACTTTTGTTTGATTGCTAAGTTATTTCCGTCATATTTTAGCATCGAAATCGGAATAATGGTCACTTATTTTGAGGGCATGTTAGCATGTACGTGTCTGATCTGGGAGTGCGAAGGATATTTTGTATGCTGACCTGTCGATTCTTCTGGTGCAAAAAAGGCGACATTATTACATAAAACTGCCCAGATATTCATAACGAAAATGAAAGATTAGACCAATGAATTTGTGATTTTTGATAAATTAAGTCGTAGTACCAGATAAATGGGGAAAGGGGGAATCGAGAGATGATCTAGATCAGTCCGGTCCGGTTCGCGATTCACGGCTAGCTCGATCGCCCGCCGGGCTGGCTATGGCTGTATGGCAAGTCGGCTACTGTGAATGCGCTGCAAAGCAGGTAATATAGTACCGTACAGGGGCCAGTAGAACTCTACAGGTGTAGAGTTCTACATCTAGGTCTAAATCTCTCACATCTTTATTGCCGTAATCGCTGTCCGGGGTACTTCCTTCTTTTATCTCCTCAAAACTCAAATCAAGCATGTTTTCGTCCTTATCGATATTTCCAGGGGATTTTCTTTGCAATACAACTGATTTTCACACACACTACATCGTGCACCATTGTCAATAAGTTCAACTGAGCGGCCCATTGTTCATTCGGTGACGTCACTGGAAATTTAGCTGTATTACGATCGTTTTCGTCATGAGTCGGTTGATTTTTCGTCAATTCTAATCAATTTTTATATTTTTCGCTCGGATTTACAAGTCAAACAATTGTAATATTCTTACTCAGTGTAAATTTACGATTGCAATGATACCAAATTTAGTCAAACTCTAAATAAATGAACCCTCTTTTAAAGGGGTTTTTCACACGTAACTAATTCATACAAATCCTATTCAATAACCTTGATAGACTAGTAGATAAGTCTCCAAGAGATCATTTCAGAATAATTGAATTAAATTGAATTTATTTGATCACGGTAAAACCCATATCAACCTAAAAAGACTGCCTTTTCAGCAAGTCCGTGTTACATTCATAAAACACATCAAATTGAATATAAATACATAGAAAAAACTACCAAAAGATGACAAAGTTAAGAGAGAAAGCTAATACACAAAAAGGAATTACATGTACAAACATATACATAATGATATAAAAAGTGTTATATGAATGAAAAAGAAACAACAAAATCAACAAAAAAAAGGTAGCCCATCAAATGAAGATAGCTAGCGTAAATATATATGATATAAAAAGGTTTATATGAAATATGAATGAATTTAGAAAGAATGAAATTAAAGAAAAAAGCTAAAAACATTAAATGACTAATAACACACCAAGATAGTTGATATCAAGCATGTCATTTGAATCAATAGGCATCGGGGACGAGAAAATGGGGTAGGATGAGGCGGGAAAGGGGTAAGAGAGAAAGAATGACGGTGAGAAATAGAGGATAATGATGTCACAGTTGATAAATCTATGAATTACAGTCGGCATGGTCGGTGTGGTTCTTACTTCATTTGATATTTCGAAAAAGACAACACGGATTTTAAACAGGTAATGCTTACCATTTGGTCCGTTTTCAACTGCTCCAAACAGATACCCAAACGAGTTCTGCTAAGCCGAACTGTTAGATTTATGTCTAGATCCAAAGCTGTCTCGACGAAAGGCACACGCGCAACTACATAATTGTCATAGCAACATCCACGTTTGCTTTAATGATAATGTATTTTACAGAACGCATAAAAAATGTAAAGGATATTTTCCAGTAACGCTCATCTCAGCTCTGAGGGCTTACAGTTTGGTGAATATTTAATGTTCTTAACTCTCAAAACAAACGAGTGTCTGTCTGTGTCGAATCACCTTGAACTGGCACGTCGACAGCTTTGACTGCAACGCATGATTTTAAGGCACTGCGCATGCGTCACGTCGTCTCAGTCGGCGATCGAGAATGCGTCAACCTTGATTGTCCTAAATCTAGTACGGTACTAGTATGCCGCGTGCGCATAAAATATACAGTTCCTCAGGTAGACAAATGAACATCGATCCCTTCCCTGCTATTATCCACCTCCAGTACACTTTAAGGTACCGGTAAGGATGCAAAGTACATATCCTTGCAGATATACATGTACATGTACATTAGGTTTACATATACGTAAACCTAATAATGATATACATACATGAATACTGTTCATGGGCAAGTCAAGGGTATCTGGTCATTTGCTGTGTCATCTGATACCAGCAACAATGACATGTGACCCAAAATTTACTTTAGAAATGTATAGAAAAAAAGGTAATATGGCAATAAACTAATGCAATGAAATTAAAAATTAATGTGGCTTTCGTGGAGCTAAATTTCCAGCGATACATTGATCCCACTCGATATAAACATGATTAATCACTATAGTTTCCGATCTGCAAGCGAAACCTTGGTTGTTAGTATCATGCCATGACTGTATTGTAGTTTTCCCCAATGATTCTGAACTATGCATGTATAACCTATTCATGAATTGTACCTACAGCAGTGACTTTAACCTAATATAAGTGCAATCGAGATAATATTGAATGCTTACAATTATGAATGCAACATGTCGAGCATGTCTATGAAGGAAACAAATTAAAAACTCTTAAATAGACAACCAAAGACGAATGGTAGGATGCAAAGCCTGTAACTACTGCTGATGTAGTCGCCTTTATAGGTAGGGGTTTCAAATACATGAAGGTGACCAGTTTGACATTTTATTCATATTGACCTTATACCAAATATTAGTCTTACACAATATTGGCCTTCGTACATGAATAGCCAGTCAAATATATGTGACTTTTCATTTCCATCTATACAAAAGGACTGAAATATGTTTGCTGCTAGTATAACTTCTCTTTAACACAGATGTAATGCCCTTCTGGCTCTAAACAGAGTATAGTCCAGTCAAACGATATTAATTCACCCAAAACAAGTTGCAAATGAATTCATTATACTGCAGTGCACTTAGAAATAATCTTCTTAACAACATACCAAAAGTCTAGGAAACTTTAAGAAGTGAAAATCAGTTAAATTTGCATATGAGTTTGAATATTAGAAAAAAAAATCATGTACCAATTTTGTAGTTATTTTCCCTTTAAGTGATGTTTTGAAGGTCAGTGAACATAATGACAATATTTTTTCGATTAATATAATGACTGTAACTTGCCTAATATGCACATTAACGTCGGCTATGAAATAATATCATTTATATACCTCACTTAAGCAATCTGATTGGTCGAAATTGCATTCATAAACTTTAACTGTTCCTGTAAAAACAGACCTATTTTCCCAATAACCATGGTTATTGGGAAAATAGGTCAGTCTCCATGGTTACCCCATAGGTTTACATGTTAAAAAATGGTTTGAGCGATCGGGGATACCGTACGTGTGCGAAGAATTGGTCGGTAATTTCAATACAATTGAATCTCGATCGATCTTACCGACAATTTTATCTTGCATTGTTGACATGAAGACGAAAATAAACTTCCAAAAACAAAAAACAACATCTGCCGATAGATCTTGATCTAAGTTCGTGCCAATATGCATTGCAAAAGTAAAAGAAGGGCCCGATTAATGGAGCAGCCGCGAATCATCAATCACGCGAAGCCGTTTTAAATCCATTTTAATGTATATATTAGAGAAAACTGTTAAGTATGGTAACAGAGCGCGATATCCGTGCGGTTTAAGGCGCTGATTTTAGTTACATCACCTTTTGTACGCAAGAGATCGAATCCCATCTTCGACAAAAGTGTCTATTTTTTATTTTTTATTTTTTAAAATCTTTTTTCGGCATATAAAAGTATTAATAACTGCTTTAATATTCGAGAAATAGTTGTTTTTATACGCTCTCGGGAAGGTTACAATTGGGCTATTGCCCTCGGCACGCCTCGGGGCAATAGCACAATTCTAACCTTCCCTTGAGCGTATAAAAACAACTATTTCTCTCAAAGCAGTCATTAATACTATAATATTTCATAATTTCGCATCTTTGTACCCGACTAGAATAATTCAAATGCCCCCACTTAATGCTCCCAATTTTAATTTAAAAATCATTAATATCCAACTTGATCAAATTATTTACATAGAATGCAAATAAGTGTCGGTCATGAAGAAAAGGTTAATTTCATATTTTCCCTATTGATTTGTTATCCAATTAAAATAAATCGAGTGTGGAAATCGATTTTTTTTTTTTTTTTTTTAAATTTTTTTTTAAGCCCCTCTCAAGTGCTGAAAGCCTCAACAATTTTGATGGCAAATTCTCACGTAAATCGAACATTTAGAGGGGCGCTAAGGGCAGTGTCAAAGATTGACACATCTCTAAATTAATGCAGTAATGAAAATAATTTGATGAAGCGTAAATCTTGTCATCTTAATTTGGTTTAAAGCTTATCTGTACTAGTTTATAGGCGAGATTAGACCACACTGCAAGGTCACTGGACAGGTAGTTATCTCATCAAATCAGCTCTCAATTAACATAAGAAAAAGAGGATCATGGAGGATAAGGCATTGTTTTCTATATAGAGGGAGCAAGTAGCTACAAGTAGGACAGTGTGGCTTTAAGATAGCCAATTAAAAAAACATACTGTTCAGTCTTGATTCTAATGGGACTAAGATAACGAATTCTGAAAGAAATGTGAATTTTAATATATTTTTGATGAGAACTCATTGACATATTTGCAAATATTAACCATAATATTGATTTTAAATTGTGTTCACCTTTTTTGCTAAGCTTGAATAAAATTGGACTGAACACCATTTTGTTCAAATTCGCTATTTAAAAGCATATCAAGATTGAAATGTGAATTTTAACTTCTTTATTGTTATTGTATACGCATTCTATAAATTGTATTCATGACATTGATTTGGAGATACGTTAATCGTTTTCACTGCCCTTGTACACTTCGATTTCCACACTTCATTTTTTTCAATTGCATACTAAGGTGCAAATTAACGGGATATCTATTTCATGAGAAATCAAAAAAACAACACAAGAACAATACCAATATCGGGGTTTTCCTGTGCTGTTTAATATATGACCCCACCCCCCCCCCACACACACACACACACACACATACACACACACACACGCACACGCACACATACACAAACTTTTCCTCTCTCTCTCTCTTCCATAGACAGAAGAATCATAAAAAGCTTGAAACAGTATATCTTTTCAAAATGAACGAATTTTTGTTCACTTTTCCTCAAAATTTCATCAAACTGATTCCTTGATTTTTCTTTCACATCTCCACACACTACCACCCACATATCTGACTTCTGAAGAAGCAGACGAGTTCACTGTGGTCGCTTTCGCTTTCCGGTACCCAGAGCCAGCCTAGTTCGAGTTAACGAAGATAAATTTATCCTCATTTAGCTGTTAAATGAAGATAAATTTATCCTCATTTAACAGTTTAATGAAGATAAATTTATCTTCATTTAACAGTTTAATGAGGATAAATTTATCCTCATTTTTATCTTCATTTAACAGTTTAATGAGGATAAATTTATCTTCATTTAACAGCTAAATGAGGATAAATTTATCTTCATTTAACGGCTAAATGAGGATAAATTTATCTTCATTTAACAGCTAAATGAGGATAAATTTATCTTCATTTAACGGCTAAATGAGGATAAATTTATCTTCATTTAACGGCTAAATGAGGATAAATTTATCTTCATTTAACAGCTAAATGAGGATAAATTTATCTTCATTTAACGGCTAAATGAGGATAAATTTATCTTCATGTAGCAGCTAAATGAGGATAAATTTATCTTCATTTAACAGCTAAATGAGGATAAATTTATCTTCATTTAACAGCTAAATGAAGATAAATTTATCTTCGTTAACACATCTAAATGAGGATAAATTTATCTTCATTTAACAGCTAAATGAGGATAAATTTATCTTCATTTAACAGCTAAATGAGGATAAATTTATCTTCATTTAACAGCTAAATGAAGATAAATTTATCTTCATTTAACAGCTAAATGAGGATAAATTTATCTTCATTTAACAGTTAAATGAGGATAAATTAATCTTCATTTAACGGCTAAATGAAGATAAATTTATCTTCATTTAATAGCTAAATGAAGATAAATTTATCCTCATTTAGCTGTAAAATGAAGATAAATTTATCCTCATTAAACTGTGTTAACGAAGATACCGGACAGCGAAAGCGACCACGTCGTCTTCTTGTTCTTCGTCGTAGCCAAAGGCAAAACTATAACTCTGGCAGGTTCCGAAGTCAATGACATCGAATTCAAAACGCGTTATAAAAGAAAAACGTAACAGATTGTGGACAACATGCATGCAACCGCGAGTGACGACGTCGAATCGAAGAGTGATTTGAATTTGGCGCGTGTACCATATATGCTTGTGTTGTTGTTGTTCTTGCCCACACTTTGTATATACTGTGTAGGCGGCCAGATCGGTACAGAGCTCTGTGTTTACAAACAATGGACACTGGCCGCGCGCGGCTATTGTTCTCCCTGTGGGTTAAGGTTGTAGCTAGTCTGCAGACACAGACCCTTGACAGCCATTATGTCTAAATTTCAAACATGAGAGTACTGAGTTTTGTCATGTAGCTGCTTCTGACACAGTAAAATACTGGAAAAGAAACATAACACATTAAGCAGAATCTGATTCTCCTGATTATTTCATGTGGTTTTATTCAAGAGTAAAGTTGAGTCTGTGTTTACAGACTAGGTTTGAGATGGTGAATGGATAGAACTGATAATCCCCGTGCGACTGGCTAACGATGGTCTGGGGAGAATATGGGTGTATCATCTCCCTGTTGTATCTGTACATGGAGGTAAATGGGTGTATCGTAATCGTAAAATGCA